CTGTTCTGTTCTGTTCTGTTCTGTTCTGTTCTGTTCTGTTCTGTTCTGTTCTGTTCTGTTCTGTTCTGTTCTGTTCTGTTCTGTTCTGTTCTGTTCTGTTCTGTTCTGTTCTGTTCTGTTCTGTTCTGTTCTGTTCTGTTCTGTTCTGTTCTGTTCTGTTCTGTTCTGTTCTGTTCTGTTCTGTTCTGTTCTGTTCTGTTCTGTTCTGTTCTGTTCTGTTCTGTTCTGTTCTGTTCTGTTCTGTTCTGTTCTGTTCTGTTCTGTTCTGTTCTGTTCTGTTCTGTTCTGTTCTGTTCTGTTCTGTTCTGTTCTGTTCTGTTCTGTTCTGTTCCACTTCTACTTCATTCTGCGCTGCAGATTCTTGTTTTTTTATTTGATTCCTTTTTTTTCCTGTAAATGACTTTGGACGACCATCTGTTACTGAGGCTCCCTGTAGAGAGTTGGCCTGGATGTACAGTGTGTGTGTGTGTGTGTGTGTGTGTCCTTTATGTTGTGCTGTACATGTTATGTTGTGTGTGTTTTAATAAAGCCTATGTTCATGCATAATATATGCTTGTGTGTGTGTGTGTGTGTGTGTGTGTGTGTGTGTGTGAGACTTCAGGTGCTTGTGTCTTAAACGGTGATTTACATCAACTTTTACTGGAGGGTATACACACACACACACACACACACACACACACAATTCATGGTACCAGGCCCAGTTATTGCTTTGGTGATTGCACATGCTACCAGTTCCTGGTCCTGGTAGGTCATTAGTGATGGAGTGAACTTGATGATGTCATTGTCCTTCACTGGTTTCTCACTTTGTTAAAAATATGGTTCAAACCATTGAAACAAATGTAAAGGTGTTGACATGAGGTCAGACAGTTCAGTTCATCTAAGTCATTTAAAATCTCTGTGAGTGCATCTTCTTCTTCTTCTTCTTCTTCTTCTTCTTCTTCTTCTTCTTCCTCTTGGTTGTGGTTCTGCTCCTGACGTCTGTGATTCTCTGTGTTGTGCCTGCAGCTCTCGGCCCGGTCGTCCTCCCAAGCGTTGTTCTGGAGCGGGGATCCAGGAAAGCCCCAGGCTGCTGCACCCGGGTCTGCCGGGCCTGCTGTCTCCAAATCTGCTGTCCCACACGGGTGAGTCCAGAACGGCACAGACACATGGCTCAGTAAGAAGTCCATAGAGAAAACCAGTGATTTGAGGGGACAGAGACACTGTCCCCCATCACTAAGGCCTTGTTTCTGTGACGTGATACGCCTACAGCTGCCTCTGGATAGCATTTAAACAGAGCTGGTGAATACGACTCTGGCCCCAGTAGTACATATGTCAGGCCTGTATGTGGCGCTGTGTGAACCACACAGTAACATACTAACACTGGAAGAAAGTTCAGAAAACAGAGCATGAGGACAAAGTTTAGAAACCAAACAAATGAAAAAGAAAAGCAGGGAAAGACTTAACTGGCTAACTGTAGCACAGCAGCTAGCTAAAGTAGCTTCTCCAGCACGGTCAGAAGGAGCATGGTCTCCACCACTGTTGTTATTGTGTAGCCTACAGCAAGGTTACTGGTGTAAAGCTGACCGGAGCGTGTGACTCTGCTCCGTCCACACAGAGTGACAGAGTTTTCAAAGCTCTCCACTCCCTGGACCTCTCTGTCCCAACACTCTGTTTTTGTCTCGTGGCCATGTAAACAGGACTGTTAACAGTGAAACAGTGTAAATCGGTTTTGTTTGCGTTGTACAGCCGCAGTACCAACTCCAAACACCAGGGCAGGACGTATTTAAATACCTGTCCTCATTCTTTTGTTTGTCACTCATGTCACTTCTCAGTCCTCTTTCATCGCCTTGTCCTCCTGACATCCTCGTCTATCCTTCTCCTCTGACAACTGTCCGTTTGTCTTCCACCCTTTCATCTTCTCTCGTCCCTCCTTCAATGAGGAGAGTTTGGAGAAAGTAAAAACAGAGAGGATGTGACCGGAGGAGATGGAGGAGCCGCGGAATCCGAGCCAAGGAGAGAGGAAGGAAGAATCATGAGAAGAGGGAACGAAGGGAGGAGAAGGGAAGAATAAAAAAGAAAGAGGAGGAAGGGAGGGAGAGTGGACAGATGGAGGAGTGAAACCCCAGAGACGTGTCATTCATCACAGCTCCATGCAGAGTCTGCAGTCCTTCTTCCTTCCTTCTCTCCTCTTTCCTTGTCTCCATCCATCTCTCCTACTTCCTTCTGTTTATACTGATCACCTTTGTCATCCTCTCATCCTCTCTCTCTCTCCTCTCTACAGCCTGTCTCCTTCTCTGTGTCCATCTGTCCTTCCGTCCATCTTTACTTCCTTCTCCAGGTTGTCTTCCGTTCTTCATCAGACCTTTATTTTCTTTCCTCATCATTATCCTCCTCTTCATTTCTTCATCATCTCCATTCATATTTCTTGTCCTTCCTTCACACTGGAAATGTTTCTGTGCAGGATAAATAAATAAAACACGCATGTGTTCAGTGACATATGGACTCAGCACACTGTGGCAAACTAATCACACACACACACACACACACACGTATGTCAGGTGTGTGTGTGTGTGTGTTTGTTGAACATTAGTGGAACCCAGAGAAAACATTTGCTCACTTATGATCCCCCATTAGCTCGCTCCGTCGAGGTCTTTTACACACACACACACACACACACACACACTCTCTCTCTCTCTTGGCAGTCCTTGGACGTCGCACACATGCAGAGTCACTGCTCTCGCGTCCATGGAGACGCCGCGTTGCCGGGGGAGACGAGCTGTTGTTTACGACCTTGCGGGCGCCATGACGATGGGGGGGCATGAACCAATCACAGACACACATTTATCACACATGCACAGTGTGAAAACAGAGAGAGGAGGAGGAAGAGGGTAAAAGAAGGAAAAAGTGAAGGAGATATGAGATCAGGGATGGATCGTGAATCGAAGGAAAATCGATACAAATGCGTGACGATTCCTGTTGGTTTCGATAAAAATAAATCGCAATCACTGGTCATACTCTGAAACTACACGCTATAGTACAGTAGATGGCGGTATGCACCGAAAAACGTTGTTGTGACGCTATTAAACCAAGACGTGGGGTCTCTACGTGGCCTCAGGGACATTCAGGTGTCCACACAGAACCTGGGAAAGAACTTGTGGAATTCTCTCCTCCACTGGTGGTTCCATCAGAGAACTTGTTCTTCGTAGAATCCTGGAGGATGTTTTTGACAGCAGGTCTGGTCCCAGGACTGAAACCCACTTCCTCTTTCAGACAGTCTTTCAGACAGTCCTGACAGAAAGCAGTCCTGTCTGAACATGGACCAGTGAAGAACGCTGAAATGAACACATCTGTCTGAGAACTTTCTGACTCTGTGGTGTTTCCTCACCTGCCTGTATTTAAGACAGACGGAGGAGAGGAGGAAGAGGAGGACAGATAAAAGATGGAAGGAGTTCACAGAGGTGAATGAGACCGAGAAGATGGATGGAGACGGAAAAAGAAGAGGAAAAAGAAGAAAGAACAAAAATGAACGAGGAAGAAGTGAGGGAGGAGGAGGAGGAGGAGGAGGAGGGGGAGGAGTGAACGACAACAAGAGTGATATCACTTTAATTGGCCTCATCTTCCTGAACAAAGACGCTGTGATGATGTGTGTGTGTGTGCACTGCAGCTCATTTGACTTGTTAATTCACTTCAAAACCAGCTCAATGGTTCGCCTTGTCTTCACACACACACACACACACACATGCGCGGTGTGTAGGTTACAGATGAAGAGCTTTCAATCTCGTGTTAAAATGAATCCACTGGTCTGAGGACTCTCATGTGCACCTGCAGAGGGGGAGGCGGGGGAGGAGGGGGAGGATTTAAGTCAGTCAATAAAACCACCCATAACAGAGAACATTCCAGAAATAAACAAACTCCTGACAACTGACCGGGTCAGTCTGTACTGGTGGCTCGGCTCAGGTTGGGTTTGGTGTAAAATTAAAAACTGAAATTGTTCATGGAAGAGTTGAGAACCTTAGGAGGAGATCACAGGTGTCTCTGTCTCTGACTGCACCAGGGACACCTTCAGGTTCCTCCTCAGAGAGGATGATGGGTAATGACCGTCTCCTCCTCCTCCAGCCCTAGTGTGAGTCTCAGCCGTCTGTGGCTGAGGTCAGTAAATATTTAATGCTGTGATCTCACTGACGCAGTCGCAGTGTGTGTGTGTGTGTGTGTGTGAAGATCTTTGTGTTCTGGATTTAGAAACTCAGTGTTGAGGAGGTGCTGCTTGATCTCACACACACACACACAGAGTCAGCTGCTCAGCCAAACACTCTCAGCTGCAGCTCTGAGGTCCAGCATCTTCATCTTCACCTTCATCAAGTCCTTGTGGGGTGAGTGGTCGTCCAGGTTCATTCAGACTGAAGTCCTGCTGTAGTCCCTCAGCTCTGATCTTAGCGCCACCTGATGGTAAAAATTCAACTTTTTCAAACAATAGTTAGTAATGAATGGAAAAGCCATTGTCTTATAAACAAAAGGACAGATTGGTCACAGGATGGAGCCTCACTGTGAGGTCACAGATGGTTTCTTACATTGATTATTTCACTGAGAATCTCCACTACACACACACACACACACACACACTCTCTCTCGGACACCGAGTCAAAACGGTGAAACCAGAGGACGATCAATAGTGAGGTCAGCGTCACAATACTGTTCTCCATCATGACTAAAACACACACACACACACACACACGCACGCTCAGATCAATGTCTGTCCATGGTTAATGGTGACCACAGAACCTTGGGAATTAGTGTGTGATTGATTGACAGACTGCTTCAAAGACGTGTGTGTTGTGTGTCTTTGTCCTTTCTTCTGTGTTCTAGCTTGGCTCTGAAGAACACAGACAAAAACTTCAGTTTTTTATTAATATTAACATCAGTTTTTAATTAATATAAATGTTTTTTTTAAGTGTAAATAATGAGTTCAAATGTAGTAAATCATCAGATGACAAGTTTGGAAATAATGAGTAGGGATGCAGTAAACTTTTATCACCGAAACAGGAAGTTATGATGGCGCAAGAAAAAGTTGGGCCAGCGTGGGCTTGTCTGAGAGACAGGTCTGCAGTGTGGACGTATATTTCAATATATCTGAGAAAGACCCACGGACAGCCATTTGCAAAACGCTTAATGCTGAAATTTAAATATGTTCTGTGAGGTCCTGACAGAGAGTGCTTCAAATAATAATAATAGTTATAGTCTATTGTGTTCTATTGACTTCCTGTGTGACTGTCAGTTGATTTCATTTCTCTGCTAGACATTTGACAATTAATTATTTTGACAATTATAAATGTATTATCTATTTATTATTAATTGATGCCATTGCAGTGCCTTGATTTTATTGAGGTTTAGTTCATAAATGTAATGGTACTAATAATCGTCATAATCATTTCTTTAACATGTTTTCAGTTTTCAGCCTTGGTTTTCTCATGTTCGCTTTTCGAAACTCCAATCATTTCATTTTAGTTTTGCTGCATCCCTAATAATGAGTCAAATGAAGGACATTTGTCCTGATGTCAGTTTAGGTTCAATGGATTTATTTACGTTAAACTACTGAGACTGTTTCAACTGTAGTCCAGATGAAAAACAACCTGAAACAGACCAGTGTGTGTGTGTGTGTGTGTGTAAAGAGAGAGAGAGAGAGAGAGAGAGAGAGAGCGGGGGACATTCCTACAAGGCCGCCGGCTGTGACTGGCCCAAACACACACACTGTCTATGATGTGAAAAATCCACATGTAAAATTACAAAATGAGGGAAAGGCCCGCACACACACACACACATACGCACACACACACACACACACACACACACAGCCTTTTGTATGAAGTCAGATCTCTGTCTCTGTGCACTGACCTGGAACTGACTTCTATACACAACAACCAGCACAGAGAGGCTGATGACTCTCAGTGTGTGTGTGTGTGTGTTACTGCTGTGCAAAGCATCATGGGTAGAAACAGCACCTGAGCTGTGTGTGACTGGTGGACTGAGACAAGTTTTAAATCCTGTTCAGCTGCTGAGTCACAGCGATGATGAAGTTCACACTGACATATGTGTGTGTGTGTGTGTGTGTGTGTGTGTCTCAGGCCTGACAGCTGCAGCCATGGCTGAGCTACAGAAGCTCCAGAAGATGAAGATGATGATGAGTCTGCAGAACGGCAACGAGTCGGACGATGACCTGCACTCCAACACAGGTAACACACACACACACACACATACTATTTTCTACAGAAATGTCATTTTGGCTCACAGTCTAAAGTCTATACAGAAAATCAGTGATTTAAGCTCAGGGAGCCACATGAGCTGCTGGTCCACTGCTGCCTCCGGTGGTCAAGTTGTGACACTGAGCTAAAAGTGAAATCAGAAATTCCAATGAAGTGACAACCCAACACTTATAACATGTGAGCAGCTGCTGTGTCTTTAACTGAGGTCATTCACTACTGTTGAGATATAACACTGGTTTTCAGCCTCTTTGACATCATGTCCTGACATTTACTGGAGCTAACGCTGCACAGTGACAGTGAACACAGAGTGGGACACGGTGTTCACCTGTTTTTACTTGACTTTATTAAAAATAAATTCAGAAACCATTACACAGCGTAGGTAACAACCTAGATGGACTGTTGTTTGAACGTTTGGCATCAAGACCAAGGGTGTGCACGTGTGTGTGTGCTCGTGTACGGTCCATCTCTGCTGTTTGTTTGTGTGAATTATTAAAAGGACAGAAAACAAAAAGAAAAAGAAAGAGGTGAGCGAGGGGAAGAGAGGCATAGAGCGAGTATTGTTTTCTCTTCTCTCTCCTCTGACCTGAAAACAGAGCTGATAGAGTTTCTCTCTCTTCTCCTTCACTCTGATGCTGTTTTATTATTTATTTTCTTCTTTTCTTTCCTTTTTTTTTATTTCACTCGTGGAGTGACTTTTTTGTTTTTGACCTTGTTTTCTCTGGGAAAGTGCGGCAAACAAAAGAGCGGAGCGAGAAAGGGGGAAGAAAGGAAGAGAAAATAAAGAGAGGGAGGAGGAAGAGAGTCGTGTTCAGGACGGAGGATAAAAGAAAAAAGTTTTTCTGATGCTTGAATGTTGATCACAATGGTTTTCTTTCAGCAGCTTCAGCTTTGAGAAAAAACAAAATCAGTGCAAGTTATTTTACAAAATTAATAAACAATTCTTTTTTTCAAAGAAAAGAAACGGACCAGAAAAACAAGGGGGAAGGAAGGACTGAAGTGTGAGATAAGAAAAAAGGAGAGGGAAAGATATGAAAGAGGGGAAAAAAGGAGGGAAGGTACAAGGAATGAAAGAAAAGAACATGAAAGAACAAGGATGAGAGGAAGAGGAACAAAAGGATAGAAGGAAGAAAGAAGGAAAGTAGATGAAGATAAGGAAAGGAACAAGGAAACAGACAGAGGAGGAAGAAAGAGAAAGAACATCTGTTCATACCTTTTTTCTTCCCTGGTGTAAAGAAAAGGATGACAACCAGCTGTCTCTCTCTCTCTCTCTCTCTCACACACACACACACACACACACAGGCAGCAGTTCAGTGGGCAGTAATAGAGAGAGACATTTACTAATTCACACTAATGGAGGAAGATGATGATGGATGAGAGAAAACGAAAGAACAGTCTCCTTCACCAAACCTCATAGAGAAAACCAGTGATTTTTGCTCACAGAGTCACAGCAGTTGATCCACTGCTGCCTCACTCATCAGTCCAAATGTCCTGTTTTGCAACTTCACGGTTTAACATCCTTTGTTCGGATTTAGCTCAATGACACAAACTGGCCACAGGAGGCAGCAGTGTACCGGCAGCTCCTGTGTCTCTGTGAGCTAAAATCACTGATTTTACCTTTGAGGCTTGGTTTATCTGGAACATTTGCATCTCATTCCTTGACAGGAGGCAGCGAGTGCTCCTGGGATAAGGAGCGTCTGACCAGTCCTCCAGCTGCGGCTCACAGCGGAGGAACAGGAGCACCACCGCCACCAGCAGGAGGTGCTGCAGCACTTACAACAGTGGCAGGCGCAGGGAGTGGAAGAGCGCCATCTATTGGAGCAGTCAATCAACAACAGCTGCAACAGCTGTGGATACTTGCCAACAGTAAGTGTAAAAACACACACACACACACACACAGCAGTATTTGTTAATGTAGACCATTTAATCTGCTCCCATCTTCTGTATTAACACTCTGTTTGGATTAATCAGCACACACTCTACTAAAAAAACACACTAATCAACACACACACACACACACACACGTGAACAGCTTCATGTACAAGTACACACTAAAAGCAAAATACACAAACGCACTTAAATCACATTCTTTGCTTTGTTTCTGTAAAAGCAGTATTTACACACACACACACACAGCAGGAGGTGACAAACACTCACAGTGATTATTTCTTCACTTCACCTGTCAGGGTGTCACGGCCATCAGTGTTATTGTTTCATTGGAATAAAAACCACACACCAAAGTGTGGTGGTGACCTGCGGTGACCCTCAGTTACGGTGGTGCCGCTGCAGCCTGAGAACCACACCGATCAGAAGCAAACTGTGGGTGGTAGTGACTTTGGGAATCAAACCCTTGACCTTCTTCTTCATGTGGTCTCCTCAGGGCTAGACCTGCCCTTCATGATGATGCCTCACCCACTGCTTCCCATGGGCCTGCCTCCTGCCTCTGTTGCCATGGCCATGTCACAGATGAACCACCTCAGTACCATCGCCAACATGGCCGCTGCCGCGCAACAGATCCACACCCATGTTCATCGTGCGCCCGTCATCAAGGTGAATTCATTCAGACAGACTAGGACGACATCTGCTGACTTAGTTTAAGACTTTTAAACTTGTGAAGAATTCCAGATCTTTTATTTTGTAGTCATCATTATTATAGCTGAGACATACAAACTGTTTTTACAGGAGAGAGTTTGTGACAGTCCGTCTCTGTCTCCATCTGTGGACGAGAACAACACTCCTGTACAGTCGCAGGCCAGCAGCTCCGCCTCCAGCTCACCTGAGAGACTGGGTACAAAAACACACACACACAAACACACACACAACACTCTAGGAATGACAAGACTGATTAACATCATGAATGTTACCTGCTGTTATTATTATTAGCTGTTTTATGCTAATATTTATGCTATATAATTAGCCATTTCAGTGCTAATTCAGATTTTTGGCTATTGTTTTTTCAATCAGTCCTCCTAGGACTTGTAGAATGATTGTAATCATTAAATGAAGTCCAAGGAGTGGCGCATTGGCCCAGAGGCAATGTCTCTGTCATTGGTGTGGAACCCCAGGGTTCACCTCCTGGGCAAGTTCGAATCCCGGTTAGGGCGGTTGGTACCTTCCAGTGGACTCACCACCCGCAGGAAGGTTTGGTACGGTGCAATGTGATTTGGGTGGCGACTGCTGCCCCCGCAACCCGGAAACGGATAAGCGGATGAAAATGGATGGATGGATGGATGGAAGTCCAAGGAAGAAATTCAGTGATTCAGTGACTCATGGGGACACAGCAGGTTCCGGTTCACTGCTGCCTCCTGTGGTTGGGTTGTGTCATGAAGAGAAAATTGAACAAAGGTTTTCAAACAGTGAAGTCACAAAAAGGGATGAAGGGAGCAGTGGATCAACAACTGCTGTGTCCCTGTGAGCTAAAATCACAGGTTAGGACAAACTAACAGAACAATAACAGTCGGTTGAACCTGCTGACAGTGTCAACATATTAAAAGAAAAAAACTGTCCCTGAAACATACAGCTGCTGTTCTTCTTCCACAGGACTGATGTCAGCTGATCCTGAGGTTCCAATGAGCAACTCTGCTGCAGCCAACAAGAAAATAACAAAGGACAAAGGTTGGACCACACACACACACACACACACATACACGCACACAGATATCAGTGAGGATATTCCATTATCCACCTTAATCCAAACCCTGAGCCATTTTCTTTTGACAACTGACAAATTGTCCTCACTTAGGAGGGTTTTCCTCTTACTGTAGTCACTCATACACACTCACACTCACAGTCAGAGAAGACGAGGAGCGTCCGGATGTTCTGCTGCTTCTATTGATCACCTGTCCAGCCAACATCAATCTGAGGGATTAGAGAAGGACGTAGCGGGAGAGAGGGAGGGGCCAGGTTAAAAGGGGCCCCGGGGTCAGACACTAAAAGCTGTGGAGGCCCCTCCCCCCTCTTCTTCAACACTCTTCTTCATTTGTTTCCTTCACCCGTTTGTCATGAGTTCAGCTCTTTCTGATGTGACTCCGTCTTTTGAAGAAGAAAATCAATGATAAGAGTGAGTTTGAATCTAACAAAGGCTTCAGATCTGATCAATAGAACAGAGTTTGACAACTGATCAAGAACCAGAACCAGAACAGTCCATCCGAACATTCCCTCCTCCTCCTGGTTTGTCCGTCTGATCCTGATTACACTCTTTTATATCAGGGTAAACTTCCATCATTTCAGCAGGTGGTGCTCCTGACTGCAACACAACCCAAAGCTCTGCAACAATCTGAGGCTGTTAGCTCGTCAGTTAGCACTTTCACTCACTCGGAGAATCACTCGTCCACGCTCACGTGCACAGAGGTTGTTTGTATTCAGGCCAGAGTGTTTGCTGCTAATTGGCAGGGATTAAAAATCAGTGTGAGTCACAGTGTGTGAACACGCCGAGTTAACTCTGCTGTGAAATTAACCATGATTAAGACACACACACGTGCACTATCACTCACGTGCACATGCTTAAATTCTAGCAGCGATGTGACTTCATCCACGTCTGTTCTGTCAAGTTCTTGGTTCTAGGTTTCTTCTCTCCATCTTCCCTCTCAAAGATGACTCCTGTCTAATGGCCTGTTCCTCCACCTACCCCCCCCCTCCCCCCCCATGTTGAGTTGTTGTTTGACCAGAGTTAGTGGTCCTAACAGTCTGATGGTTTGTTTGTTGACAGAAGAGACGTCCTTGGCTCAGGCTCTTCCTCCTGGTTTTCCCGCTCCGTTCTTGTTTGCTGATGGTCTGTCGTCAGTGGAGACGTTGCTCACTAACATACAGGTGAGGGTTGATTTGTTTATAGGAGACATGTATTCATTTTAAATCACTCGGATATTGCGATTGGCAGAACATTTAAAATGGCTTTAAATCTAAAGAGAAAACTAAAGCTCATTTTTAAGGAACTATTTCTCCATGATTAACATGAAATCAACAAGGAGAATAAAGAGTCTATAAACACTGGGAAAACTGTCTCTCTGTCCTCAGGGTCTCCTGAAGGTGGCAGTAGAAAACGCTCGAGCGCAGGACAAACAGATCCAGGCAGAGAAGAGAGAACTGAAGATGGAGCTGTTCAGAGAGAGAGAGATGAGGGAGAGTCTGGAGAGACAGCTGAGCTCAGAGCTGCAGAACAGAGGTTTGACCTGAGCAACAACAACAACAACAACGACGACAACAACAACAGGGTTTTGGTCTGACTCTTTATTTAAAAACTCTTCTGTCTCCTCACAGCCTCCATCCAGAAACGTCTGAAGAAGGAGAAAAAGGCAAAGAGGAAGCTGCAGGAGGCGCTAGAGTTTGAGTCCAAGAGAAGGGAGAGAGTGGAGGACGCTCTCAAACACTCCTCCTCCTCTTCTTCTCCTGAGCCGCTGCACGTTAACAACAACGGAAGCAGTCTGGGTGAGAACGCACATTTACCTTTGTCACAATGGGGGAGAGAGGAGGTGAAGAAGGATGTGAGGGAGGAGTGGGATGGACAGAGAAGAGAGTATTGGGAGTGGAGGGGGTATGAAGAGAGAGAAAAGTGGAGGTACAGAGGAGGGTATGGGGTAGGGGAGAGAAGAACGCAGAGAGTGAGAGAGGGAGAAGACAGAGAGTGATGGGGGTTAGAGGAAGAGGGGGAGTATGGCAGGGTGATGGAAGAGGAGGATCAGAGAAGAACGGGACAAACAACAAGGGAGAGTGGTATGAAGAGAAGAGAGAGAGAGAGAGAGCAGGGTAGGGAGAGAGAGGCTAACTAAAGTCATGTTAGCTGTTAGCCTGACGTCCTGTTCTAGCGTCGGTGTCAGATCATAGAGTGTTTATTCAACCTGTAATAACATCTGTCCACAGCTGATTTCTTCTACTTGCTCTGAGACATTTTCTTAAGTTAGTTTAGGTTTTTTTAATTTAGTGTCCATTTTTAGTTTTAGCTACTTTTGCTTGATTTTTTTCCATCACACTTTAAGGTTAAACCTTGATTTCCTTCTTAACATCAAGTCTTTCTTTCAGTAGTTGTAAGTTTTTCACTTTGTGATGATATATATATACACATATATATTATATGTGGTATAATGTGCTCTGTCTCTGGGACTAAGCAGATACTGCTGTGACTGAAGACAAACCTGAGGTCAATGGAAACCAGCAGGAAAATAGCAGCAGTGTAAAAGGTATACAAACACACACACAGCCACAGTATTAGAAGAAAAAACTACAAACACATACAGATGCAGGCACTTAAATACAGGGAGTACACACAGATGTGCAAGTTTGTACAATTAAACACAAAGGTGGGAGTAGACTGTGTTGGGGCCCAGGCCACATCAGTGCAGACATGAAACAGACAATGTGGCCTCCCTTTGATGTCAGCCCACAAAACATGTGCCCATTTAGTGTGTGTGTGTTAGAGAGAGAGAGAGAGAGAGGGGAGGGAGTGAGGGAGAGGGAGAGAGACGCTGTCTTTAACAAGAACATTCATGTTTATGAACTAATGTTGGTTCTAAGCTTATATTATAGCTAGTGTTTAATCCACCCAACATCATTTACCTTATGTTGATACAGTTACTGTTAGTTCTGTCCCAACACTGAATGGAAATTTTCAATGTAGCCTGTTTGTGTGTGTCTCATACCTGTGTTATCTTAACTCTAGTCACACCTCACAACCAAGAGTTGTTGATCCACTGCTGCCTCCATCACTGAGTCCATCCTCAGATTCCTGCT